CCCACCCCCCCACCCTCCACAGACCTCCTCTCACCTTACATCCCAACTTGACGCTTCCTCCCTCTGCCTGGTTTGGGAAGGTCCAGGCACAAAGCGTGCTTACTGACCTCCCAGTTTCATTCCTGCGTGGCTGGACATGGACAGATATGTGTTGTTTTACAGCCTGAATCACACTGTCCTACAGAGCTAAGCCTGTATTGTCCAGGATCTTTTTTGTGCCACAGTCACCTGGGCCAAAAAAAGATTGTGCCTAAGAAGTTTGGCTAAGTAAAATTCACCCAATCTGCAGAGGAAGAAAATACACTGTGTGCCCATGCCATACTGCCCATGGGACTCTGACAGCCCCCTAGTTCTCAGTGCTCTGCAGTGCTGAAACTGTGCTCTGCTGCCTGCTCTGTCGCTGCCTGCGTAGTAGCGTGAGCACAGTGCTCTCCTGGGAAACCTTGCACGGAAGTGCTTGGCACTACCATCTTCATGATCTGGCAGCTGAGACAGTTCAAGCTCCATCCTGCAAGAAACGTGTGACTGTGGGTAGTGACAGAGCTGAAACAATGCCACAGAAAAATCCAGGAGCACGAATCTTCCACGGACAGTTGGGTTGCCAACGTATGTGCTCTTCAGAGAGGTAAAGGTAATTTCTGGATTTGAGGCTAACTCCACAGAATTTTGCCATCTGGAAAGAACCTATTTGGAGATATCCAGCCTCCATTTCCTTGTTCATCATGCTTTTTCTACTTGTTTGACAATGATGAATTGTTTTGGGTTTGGTTTGGTTTTTGGTTTTTTTGAGAAAATTGCCAATGTTCACAAAGAAAAAAAGAAGAGTCTAAAATGAGTTAAAAAGCTTTCAGATTTTACTTTTTGAACAACCCTCCTAGCCAGTCCACCTCCTACATGGAGCTGACCTGAAAGCATCACTTAAACTTACCCTGCTCCCACCACTGTAGGTTGGTCTTATGTTGTCATAAGTGAGCAAGACCTATCCTCATCTTTCTTCCTTTTGTGCTCTGCAAATCCACCTGCTTCATCCAAGATCCTGCAGCTCTACCCAGTTCTTGTGCTGGGAAATGATTCAGATGTCAAAAACCCAGCTGATCAAAACAGAAGTTTTCTTTTAAAGGGTGTGCCCATTCCCAAATGTGGGTCACCAAACAAATTTCCAAGGGGTGAGGATTGAGCTGTGAGTAAGGGTTGCAGGAACTAGCAAAGGGACACACTCAGATGCACCCCCAGAGACCAGTTGCTTGAAACTTCCCCCACTCAGTAAGATGGCCTGGCAAATTTGCAAGGAAGGAGAAGGATGCTAGACCTGAAGCACCAATGCACCTGCTGCAAGAACCACAGTAAAAGAGAAGAACAAGGATGCTGCAGGTGATACAAAGATCCTCTCTAGGAGATCATTTGTGGGCTCCTTCTGTCCCAGGACTAAGCTGGGAGTCACAGACTATCCTTGATACTGAAAGCTTGGGTATTTGCTGAGGGACAGTTGTGTCCTGCTGATCTGGACAGGAGTGAGACATTTCAAGGACATACAAAAAACCCCAGCAACACAGGTTATATCTGATCCAGGAGAAGGATGATGGGGATCGGTGTCCTCACACCCACTGGCATCCTAAAATAATCTGTTACTGCTACATTCCTTACTGTTACTCTGTCTCTTAGAGACTCTCCCACTTTTGAATAAATACTTTTTATTTGCCTTCTGCCTTACCCATGCAAATCTACCAGCTGAGGTGCTTGGACCTCCAGTGTGTACCTGGCTCTCCATCAAACCCTTCATGTCATCTATACAGACTGGGTCAGGAGGCACTGCAGCAAAAAGATTTTGAGGTGCAGACAGTAAAAACCTGGGGACTGGCAGAGAGCCCAGTGCAGATCCAGGTCTGGATCCCAAACCCTTTAGCCTGGGGATTGCTTTAGGCAGGGTCTTGCTGGGCTCTCACCAAACGCAGGAAGCTCTTGGTTCTGGTGGGCAGCAGCTTGTGGCAGTTAATGCCCAATACATGCAAAGAACTTGCAGGATTCAGATTGCAAGGGCATTAAACTTGGACCAGGTTCAACTGCAAGGATCTCCAACAGACCCAACTTCATCTGTAAAGCCCTTGTCCCTTCCTTCCTTTACCCTCTCCTCCCATCACAACCACTGTTCCCCCAGAACCTCCCCACCACAGCTGTATTTCTGCTGGCCATGCTCAATGCTGCCATCTCAGTCAACCCCCTCATAGGGTTGGCTGCAACCCAAAGCCCCACTTACTTTTTCCCGAGCTGGCGTGCCACATCACAGCGCTTGAACCCTTCGAGGTTGTAAAGGCGCTTGGCCAGCCTCTTGGCAGCCTCACTATCCGCCCTGCAGCCGTTCGCCAAGGTGTCTGTGCTGCCCTGGTCAAGCTGCTCCGTGCTGCCCATGTCAGAGTCGGAGTCTGACAGTGCGTCTTTCAAGCTGGCGTCACTACACAGAAACAAGAAACAATTCAAGGAGCAGCAATGTGACTTGATGAAACCCACAAAAAATGCCACATTTTGATTTCTTCTTGTCCTAACTGAAAAATACAAAAAAAAAAACCCAACACATTTGTGAACTGGACATTGGACAAACCCTTTTTTCATTTCAGATCAAACAAACTAGTACAGTTTAATTTCAAATTTATAAAAAAAAATTGAAGAGAAGGTGACTTCTTCCTGAGAAATGAGGATGTATCCATTCAAAGCAAGCAGCCCCAACACCTTTTAAAGCTTTCTCTCTCTCTGCTGGTATGGAAAAGGATACCAAGCTCTGTCAGAGCTGCGGACATTCAGGAAATCTTAGGGCTAGATGGTATGCTTTTCAGTTCAGATTATTTGCTGAGAATCAGAAACTGCACTTGTACAAACCATGCCAATGGGACTGGCAGCAGACCTGCTGTCCCTGGTAGGCTGCTCCTCTCGCAGCTGGTGTTGTGGCCAGCTGTTCCCACAGACAAGACACTGAGCAGCCTCACTGACACCATTTAGGTGGGGGTGCATCTCTATTTTCTTGCCCAAGGCCAGTTAATAGCGTTATGGCACCTATTTGCACATTTTTGGGCAGTGTGACTCATTGAAGGCCTGACAGATAGCTGGACATACCTCCTCGCTCCAGCTCTCCCATGACCTGGCTGCTCATCACCTGGCTTCCTCAGATCTGCCCTGCATATGAGCTGCTGCCTCCCAGGGATGATGGTTTGGGTCTGAGCTGGTCCAGAGGATGAAGTCTCTGCTGACCTGCAGAAGTCTTCTGCACTGCCTGCAGAAGAACCTTTGGGGAGGCCTCTACGGGGGCACCCAGTCCTAAGTGAAACCTTGAGGTTTTCCTGCACTTCAGAGCACACGTGGGTGTGTGCCTGACTGCCTCCAACCTGCCAAGGGCTTTTCCAGTTATCAGGCAGACAAGGCTGTGATCTGCCCAGAGAAGCCTCGGCTTTGCCTGATATAAGAACAGATGGGATTTGTGAGCAGCCAGGTGAATGGTGGTGAGCAGCCAGGTGAATGGTGGTGACCTCCAGAGCAAACATGAACATAAAGTGCTGAATCTTGGCTTTTCTTGGGCTCGCAGGGCTCCTACAGGACCCTGCAGCTCACACACAGTTTGGGGTCCTGGGATTCAGAACAGGGAGGACTCAGACAGAGGTCTACTGGCTTGCTTAACGCCATGAGACCTTGGTCCCCAGCTGTGTCCTACCCTATGAGCAGGAAAGCTTTTCCTGTTGGTGTTTGGCCTCCCTGCCATGACAGCACATGAGAAGAAGCACAAGGGGAAAAAAAGCAGCTCCATCTCTATCATGTCTTCTGAGTCTTGCTCCTGGACTGGGACCCTGTAAGACAAGGAACACTTTGCCCAAGGAAATTCCAGCCTGCCTTACCTGATGGAGTTAATGATCTTGGTGGCATCTTCCTCTGACCCTTCCACGTGGAACCCATTTGGGATACTCTTCAAGGACAACCGACTCAGCACATTCTCTGACCTGCTGCTGGTAATTGAGTGCCTGAGAGGGCTCCCAAAATCCACCTCTGCTGGCTTTGCTGATGCCTGCTCTTGCTTATCAGCAGCCATGTGGTGAAGGGCTTCTCTCTGATGGGCTACCAGTTTCTGCTCCAAGAGCTCTGGGCTTTCCTTGACCCTTTGCTGTATCAATGGGGTGAGTGGGGCCTCAAAACTGACACAGCTGTCTGTCTCGTCTGTGAGAGAGAGGACATCCAAAGAGTCCAAGCTGCTGTAGTATGTACCCTTCATAAGGTCAGACTCAACGATCTTCTCAAAGGTCGAGCTGAACCCATCCCTGATGTCTTTGAATTGAAAATGTTCCTTGTCATCCTCACTGTAGCTCAGCTTGGCATCTCCAGAAGCAAACCTGGACCAAAAGAGGACATGTAGAAAATACAGTCAAGGTAATTGCTTGCACGGTTCCACTTAGAGCTAGGAGGCAAGAGAAGAGGCAAAAATGGATGCTGTGATTATAGGCCCTCGGAACCTCTCTGTGGTATAACCTGCCTGGTTACCAATTTTATTACAAGCTTCTAGAGCTGAAAAAGGCAGAGTTTTATGATGAGCAATCCCAGGGCCCCAGTCAACCCCAGTATAAATCCAGACCTCTGAACTGAGAGGTTTGCATCTGACACCTGCTACTGGATCCACTGCCAGAATGGATTTAATCTGCAGGTTATCTCTCCTTTCAAGTGCTCCAATTATGGCTACTTCAAAAGCATGAAAATCCTTAAGATCGAGGCCATTTAATCTAACTTTGGAAATTGGCAGCAAATGTCCTTGATCCCTTTTATAGCGGAGAAATAGCAGAAGCTTTTAGGGAGCAATTCATATGCTGTAACTTAAGCCTTTTTTCTTAGATGAGGCACCCTAGAAGTGCAAGGCGCCCTGCAAATAGTTTTCTTTCAACTAAGAGGGATGTAAAAGCTGATGGACACACATCCAGGCAGGGGAGGCTCTGTGCTGCTTTACAGCTAGACTGCAGGATTCAGGCAGGACAGGAGGCTGCGAAATGCATGAACCTACAAGTCTAGCTTCCAGGTATGCATGGACGACCCTCAGCAATCCCAGCTCTGTTTGGCTTTCAATGCAGGGGCATTCATTCAGGTGTACATCTCAATATGAAGCCACACTGGGAGAATTCATCTGAGTCAAGTCCAGCAACACCCACTGTGCTGGGAGCCCTGGGGAGCTGTGAGGGCTCAGTCCCTCCTGGAATAGACCAGGTTGCAAGGACCTGCCAAAAATATCCCAGGTTTCTCAGGTGAAGCCTGCCTCCCCTCTTCCAGCAGACGCTTCTGTCATTTGCTCTCTTAGAACCAGGCTTTTCATTCTGTGATACAGATGAAAGCTAAGGGAACAGTAAGCTGCTTTTCCTCTGCCTGTGGTGGAGTTAACTTTCTTCATAGCAGCACATATGGTGCTGTGGTTTGGATTTGTGCTAAAACAATGTTGATAATGCACTGATGTTTTATCTGTTGCTGAACACGCCTGCACAGCGTCAAGGCTTTCTCTATTTTTCACTCCCCAGCGAGTAGGCTGGGGGTAGGCGAGAGGCTAGGAGGGAACACAGCTGGGACAGCTGACCTGAATTGACCAAAGGGATATACCATGACATATAGAGTCATTCTCAGGAGAAAAAAAAGAAAAAAGGGTTTGGTCTTTCAAAGTAGTAGTGCTCAAAGACTAGCTGGGCATTAGTCTGCTGCTGGGAGATGGTGAGTGATTGCTTTTGCATCACTTGGTGGGGTTTTTTTTCTCTTTCCTTTACTTATTAAACTGCTTTTATCTTGACCCATAAGTCTTGCTTTTGCGCTAATGATTCTCTCCCCCATCTCACAGGGGAGAGTGGTGAGGAAGTGCAAGGACAGGTGCTCAGTTGGTGGTTGGAGTCAATCCACTGTACCTCCTCACTAGTGTTGTCTCAGTTTGGCAACCCTGTGTCAGTGTCATGGCTGTGCCTAGTGCCTCTCCTAATGAGCACGGCCTCACTTTGCAGCACATTACTTTTCCCTGAGCTGAATTTTGGGGGTGGATCAGGGATGAGCAAGTTTCTTGTGCCAGCTAAGGAGACGCTGTACCTGTGCAGGCCCAAATCCATATCCTGTTAGTAATGTTCCCTACTGGGTGCCAGTGACAGCCCACTCCCAGCCTTGCAGAACATCACCTGGCACAGAAGAGATTGGAAATGGTCCTTGGGAGGTAGTGGCTCTAGCACAGAGGCAGCAAAGCACTTGTGAGACACACACGGCAGAGCCATGATAGTGTCTCCCAGGAGTCTGGACACTTCTCAGTTCACTTTACAAAACAGTTCAGTCTTTTTAGGTGGGGAAACTGAGGCATGAACCACACTTCATTGAACTGATCACAGCAAAAGTAAAGAGAGGTAGAGAGATATAGCCTTGTATCCCGGCTCTACCACCAGACAGCAGAGAACAGGAAAAGCAAAGTGACCACCCCTGACAGCCCTCAGCCAGCTGCATGTTTCCAGCTCCCAGATCTCTGCAGCTTACAGTTGCCCTGATCCAGAAACATTCAGCCCATTTTGTCCAACAGACACAGGCTCCCTGGTTTCACGCTGGAGATAGATGATCCCTGAACACCACTGCCATGCCTGGACAGAGGGTCAATGGAGCTCTGAAACCAGGTCTGCTTGTACCATTACAGGGTCTGGGGTGCATATTCCCTTCTCTCAAGGCAGGAGGGATTTGCCTGTATTTCCACTGCACAGGTAAGCAAGTAGCAAGGAGGCAAGGCTGCCCCTTGAGCAGGGAGCAGGTTAATAAGGCCCTGAATTTACTGGCACAGACATACAGATGTAGTGTCATCCATTCCTGGAAACCCTAGCCCTTCAAAATGCCTCAGGCAGGGTGGATGATGGCTGGCCATTTCAGGACACAGTGGCCCTAAGGGCTAGGGAATGTACACCTTGCCACCAATGACAACGCACCCATCTGGAACCATCATCATTGGGTTTGTGGAGCAGCCAGTTCTCATGGGCAGCACAGGAGACACCATGCCCAAGTGGTGATGCTCACATGGACCGGTTGTCCTCCAACACCCTCATCAGCACGGGCAGCAAGAACTCAGCATTTACATGAGCACTAATTCTGGGCAGTAAAATGGGACCTGGCATCCGTTCACACAAGGAAGTCTTCAAGCTTATCACCTTTGTTTGCTACAGGCAGTGTGTTTAAAGACCCAAGTCTGCAGGATAGGAGGTTGTCTCCAAACAGGGATGTCCTGACCCCAAGAATCCACAACAACCAAAGACAGTCATAGGGCGAGAGGGGATACAGTGGACAACTAACAGAAAACCAGTGTAAGGAGGGAAGATGCAATGACAGATGTGCATAGAGCCCCGCTGTTGCAGTGAAGAGCGGGCACAAGTCAGCTACCAGACTTCTTGTCCCCCATCTTTGAAAGAAAAGTGCATTTGGGGATGGATTTGAACAAAGGAAGATTTTCCTGCTTCTAAAGTGCCAGAGCAAGAGCCATTGAAGAGGAGAGGACAAATCAGCACTCTCAGGTTTCTTATTTCTCAGTGTCCCAAGAGTCTGAGGAAACCAAGAAGGTCAGGGTATGCCATGTTATCTTCCCTTCTTCGTGATGCTGGATGCCAGGCCAGTGGGCTGGTGAGCTGCAGCAGGAACAGGGGATCCCAGCACAGCAGGGAGCAGGACAGACCCACCTATGCAAGGAGGAAGACAACCATGTGTGGCTTATGGTATGTTCATGAGACCTGACAGGCCCTAACAAACAAGTTTTTGCACCCTTTGAAAGTCCACTGTGATGTCGGAGCCGTCAGAGTTGCTGTTTTCAAACCTAGCTCTGCAATCACAGGGTAAAAGCTTATATGAATCTGTAGACCTGCATAATCCTTTGATTCCAGGAGCTCAGAGCTTAAGAAAACTCTCACCCAGTTCATCAGAGCTGGCCATGCAGCAAACCAGACATAAGCAGAAACGAAGCAGACAGCAGCAGCCCCACAGACTATCCGCTGCAGCCCAAAGGCCCCTCATCCTCATGAATGCTTGTCATTACAAATCCATCCATCCCTGCAGGGTGAACTGCAGTGCGTGGCCATAACTTTGTGTACAGAAAAGATCCTCTCCTTCGACAAAGCAGGAGGAACTTCAAAAACTTCGTCCTTGTGACAGGAAGGACTTAGTTGGACCCAGCGGTGGGAACTATGGACTTGCCTTGGCAGCTTGTCCCATTGCCAAACTTCTTGCAACAGCCCCATCCCCAGTGAACTTCCACATCTCCCCTACAGAGGGTCTGTGCCCTCCCCACACCAAAGAAAAACCCTGGGCATTTGTATTTTCCCCAGGTCCTCCAAGAGAGCCATCACACTGCTCCTTAGCCTGCATCTCTTCACTCCCAGCACCAGCATGTCTTTGTGCAGGATCATCTACGCAGGAGGGCAAGCCCTGACCCATCCCCATGAGGTTTCCAGCATGTGTTTCCAGGGGTGTTGTGCACTGCAGCTGTGCCTATCAGTATTCTCCTGGCCGCTTCTGGGTATCAAGTCCATCAAGAGCCATCAAGCCCCGCACCTCCTGGATATTACTTAGCAGGTCCCACATTGCCATAACCCCAAGCCAGACAGCTCCTGCTCTCTCACCACACTGAACAGAATAATTTCCATTAGCTGTTCATACCACAGAGCTTGTATTTTCCAGCCCTTTGTTTATCCCTTGAGCCCAAACTCGTACAGCAGGCAACAGTGAGAAAGTCTGTATCCCCAGCAAAGGCTGCGTAAGACAAACCGCAGAGACCAGGGCAGGAGTCCTAGGTGGGTCAGTGGGCACCAACAAGTCAAGCACATCACATCTCTCTTTGCGTGGTCCCAGAGAAGACGGAGGACAAAGAGACTTTCTACAGCTTACACCAGCCCAGGAGCACCAGCACCAGCAAAGTGTCGCGTACTTACTACACAGCGGGGAAGGCAATTGCTTCACTTAAATAAAGAGCTGTATATTTATTTGCATTGTAATCAGAAGGTTTTCTAAGTGTATTAAAGTAACACTGTATCTAATTGCCTGTGCTGCTTTCCCCAGTCATCTCTGAAATGCTGTTTTATTGCTTACGGGAAGGCATGCAGAGCAATGCACTTGGTTATTATTGCTGCTGAACTGTACTGGATTTTTATGCACTGAGTTGTTTACATTTCACTTCTCACTGGTTAATTAGTTGTAATAAAGTAGAACCTAGTTTGCTGTGTTGGTGGAGTGAGGAGGCCTGCCAGAGAAGGACATGATGGAAATCAGGATTTTCTTGCCTGTGCACTGCAGGCCTTCTGCAAAGTTTTTCTGAAACTTTATTTAATGGAATTTGACTTGCTCAATGGCTATATGTTGCCATAGGAGGAAATGTGTGGACAAAGGCAGCAGTTCCAAACCTGAAGATACTAAATGTGTCTACAAGCCAAAGGTGGGGATTCCTCTACTGACAAGTTTGACCTTTTCAGATGATTTCTGGGGCTGAAAGCAGTAAGTTTCATACACTGGTGAAGCTCTCAGTTTGACTGCAGAGCTGTGACCTCCCCAAGATCAGCATGGCCAATGTTGGGGGCTTCTGGGAAGGTGAAAAACCTCTAGGCAAAATAGCCACAATGATTGGAAAATAGGGCTTTGACAAATCATATGTCGGCATGCCAATGAATGCCATGGGGTAAACTAGAAAGGGGGTAAAAGTTAACGCAAACTACAGCACAAGATCTAAAGCTTTGGTTTTATTTCCTTGACTTTTTAAACCACCATTTCCTGCATAGACACACACATCTACATTCAGTGGGGCAATCATAGTTTCTTTCTCCAGATCCACCACGGAGTCAATGACCTTGGATGACTTTTTCCCCTTTAATTCAGCAGGAAAAACAAGATGCAACCCTTTCTTGTAAAGTACTTTAAGATCCAGGGGCAAAATGTGTCATATGAGCACCAACACGCGAATGGTAAGTGATTTGTTCCCCAGGAATGAATAGTTGACTGCTCACTGGTAAAACATTAGGCCAGAGACAGAGAAACCCCAGGTTCTCCTATATCCAGAATGGTCATAACAGAAACACCAACGCACCAAAGGGGAGTAAAGAAAGAACCGGGGAAACTCAGAGATGATGCAGGATGACAGTGACTTCTTGGTGCCTCGGTCCATCTGTCAGCTTTGTTACTCCTGACCCACACTGATCTAGGAGATCCAGACAGTCAGCTACGGTCAGGAAAGACCAGCTCCATGCTGTGTTTGGCCCAGCCACATGTTTCTGCCATTTAGCCTAAAGATCGGTGGTCAAAGTACTAAGGAGCTCACACACAGTGAGCTTTAGCCTAGGCAATAACGAGTTTCCCAGATTTCAGCTGTCGCTAAAGTTTTCCAGCTGCCGTTCTGCCTTTGAATAGAGTGTGTGACTTATCCCTTGTGCATTCAGTTTCTCAAAAGACATATTTGCTATACAAGTGAATATGTTTAGAGCATAAGATCATGGGCTGTGCATGCGGAGCCCAGTCAGGTTGCATCATCTCCAAATCCTCAGCCTGCCACTTCTCCCAGTTCATGCCCTAGGACCTTAAAATAATTGCACTTCCAGTGACTCTAGCAGCATTCACTGGCCCCCTTAGCTTCATCTTGAACTCACAATTTCTTCCAGGAAGCCACGCACCAAGCAAATACTATTCCCTTGCAACCTGAGAGACTTGCAGACATCTAAGACCTGACTGCATAGCTTACAGGGCTCGTGGGATCTGCCTGGGGGTGGACTCCCCTAGCTCTCTGGACATCAGCAGCCTGCATTGGACACTCTTCCTCTTTGGCACCTTCGATTGCACTTGTTGAAACAGTGCTGCTCCTTCTTGCTGGGGGCCTTGGGTAAATCAAACCACCAGCTTTTTATAGGGGAGCCTGTTAACGCTAGAGACACAATGAATTAGGGACGCCTGTTGTCAGCCCACACGCTGTGTGGCTTCCCAGCTCTGCTGACACTCCTACCTATGCTCCAGACAGCTCTCTGAACAAACATCTCAGCCTAAAGCCTGCGCTGGACTAAAACTAGTAGGTGATTCACTGGCCCCTCTTGGCCACCCTGTTCCTTTCACACTTTCTCTTAAGAAGGCCATGCTCTCCTGTGACAACTTCTCCTGCTCTTCTCCAGCCCCCTCCTGCTTGCAGCATCCCTGCTGCGCTAGAGTAGGTACGCAAGCAGGGCCATAAGATTCACAGTGGCCATAAACACCAGCTGGCTACAATACAGATCCCTAGATGATTTTTGGTGGCAAAGGGAATCATCCGTACTTCTCCCACAGGGATGGCATGGAAAGCACCCCACTTCATCCCAGGGACCAGTCATTTCCCTGCAGCCCCCAATCTGCAGAGCCCCAGGGAGTCTAAACACTTGCAGAGGCATAAAATCAGCTGTGGATGCTGCACCAGTGTGAACGTCCCCCAGCCTGGAGAGTTCTCCCGTGAAAACAGGCTGCCAGTACAGAGGATACAGAGGCTGGGGGGCACTGCACATGTGCTGGTTTGTCTCAGGCACTTGAGAACAGGATGACACTTGTGTCTCTCATCTCTTACTGCTATGTCTGTGCCACCCAGGCACTGGTAACACCTGCCACAGGTGCAGCAGGGAGCAAAGCTCAGTGCCTTGCCCTCTCTTACCAATGGCGTGGTCCTTTGGATGCAAAGCTGTAACCTGCTAGCCCAGGGACTGCCAGAGCAAGCCATGCTGCCAGGGACTTCCAGGGCATACCAGGCTCCTGGGCAAGCCCCACTCCTCATCATCCCCTGGCTGTCGTGCTTGTCCTAAGACATCTCAGGAACTCTGCCAAAAGTGCTCCAGCTGAATCTCCAACTTACAAGTGGGAAACCCCCAAAGTGAGCACAACCAGCACTCCTGAGATCTCTAGAGCTTCTCCTTCGCTTTAGTACCTCTGTGGGCAGATGCTGGCTCTAATCACAGCTTTTCTGCATTTGTAACAGGGAAAAGCAGTGTGAGAAGCCCGGAGAGGAAAAGAGCGAAAAGCCACAGTCAACCATGAGAGCAGCTGCAGCTTTTTAAACTGCTGAGTTGCTCACAGAGCAGAGTAACGCGAACCAAGGAGGCTTGAGAAAACAACACATGCAAATCAGCACTGAGCCGACGTTACAATGACTTCACACTCACCCGAGCAGCTCCTCAGGCTCGTCTGCACTTAGAGCTTCTGAGGAGCCCAAGATGCTGTGACACCACTCATTGCTGAGGGCCTCACTAGGTATTTCCTGGGTGGGAGAGCCCCTCTCCTCCGAATCCGTGCTGCTTCGGCTGGGCACGTCACTGTCCTGCTGCTGCAGCGGCGCCTGCTCCTGCCCTGCAGCCAGCTCTGCATCCACGCCGTTCCCCAACAACGGATCGTCCTCGTGGCCACTCTTGCTGCCAGCGTCTGTCCCCAGTCCCCGTTCACCCTGCCTCTCGCCCAGCTCCGCCTTCACTTCCAGATGTTTGTTCCCCTGGCCCCCGCACTCCCCCTCCGCTCCTCGGGAGGGTTGAGCATCATCCCGGGGGCTGGCTCTCCCGCTGGCAGGCTCCGGAGGCTGGCTGAGCTGCTCGTCCCCATCGCTGCAGGCCAGCTCTTGGCGGTCTGGGGCAGAGCATGGAAAGTGGCTGTTCTCGCTCATATTCTGCTTGTTCTCCCAGCGCTTACGGGCTCCCTCCCTGCACTCAGCTCAGGCTCAGTACTACCTACAACAGAAAAGAAACCACGTCATGAGTGCCCATGAGGGCTGTCAGAAAGGCACGGATTTGTCGATAGCAGGTCAGAAGGGCAGCAGTTTGAAACGGAGCACAGAAAAATGGCCCCCCAGCCCTATCGACCCCTCAATATAAAAGCAAGGAAGGACCATGCTGGGGTTTGCTGCTTTTGCAAAGACTAGTGCTCATTATGCAGCACAGTGAGATCTGGAGAGGAAAATCTGCTCTTGTGGTCCTGAGGCATTAGGGGCCCGGGCACCCCCATTCTCCTGCTCCTCTCAAAACCCCCAGACAGCCCCAACCCCTAGCACAGGGGACCCGTACCATGCAGGGTGTTGGTGCCCCAGCTGTGGAAGGCAGCTGCCCAGGGCTGGGGACAGGAATGTGGCACAGCTGCTTTTCTCAGCCTGGCTACTGGGGCACTATTTCCAAGTACCCTCTGCCTGCCAGAAATAGGAGAAATAGGAGATAAGTGTGAATTTTTTTTTAAACACTTCTAAGCATTTGTGATGTGCCAACCTGCGTGATTCTCCCTGCTGACTTTGCATTTCTGCAGACCTTCTTGCCCGCCAGAGTAACACTTTTCCAGACACGAGTACTACTGAAGGGTGTCATAAGTTGCCAGCTAAGACTGGCTAAAGTGTCTTTATTGAATATACCCTGTGATGCTCTCTGTAGGGCAAGGGAAGGACGCTGTATTGCACCAAATGAGACAAGTGGCATTTTTGATAAAATGGCACCTCGTTGGTGAACATGCCTATCGATGCAAAGTTTGCCAGTCTTGCAAGCACCATCCTGAGCCATGGGCTGTAGCCCCACAGTGCTGTGCAAGCTTTTCTCCATTGTAACAGCTGCAGTCAAGTGACCATGGTGCGACCAGAAATTATCTCTTCTGGAAGCAAGACTTTTTGTATGGGGCTCAGGCCAAGGCATGATAACAGCTGATTTTGTTTTAAAACAATACTTGTCTTTACCTGCACAGGAAGCATGGCTAATCAGTCACAGCAGGCAGATGGGACCCCTGGGTGTTCCCCCTAATTCTCTTCCTACCTCACATCTCAAGCAGATCATTTAAACTCTCTGCCTCAGCTTCCCTCTCTGTAAATGAGGGATTATATATCACCTCTGAGAAGCCGTGAGGCTATCCAGATGTCAGCAATGGGCTTTGGGTGCTCTGACTTGCTGAGCTGCAGCCCTTGTTAGCAGTAAAATCATTAATTGCTTGCCTAGTGCAGGGCTCTACTAGTTCTTGCTGACAAGATGTGCTGGGCTGCAGCTGCCTCTGCTCTTACAACCCCTCACATTGTGGAGGTCATGGAGATGTCAGCAGCTTCCCTTCTGCTGCTGATTCCTCTGCAGGGGTACATGCTGAGCTGCTGGCTGAGCAGGACAGATCCCGAGGGGAACCTCATGCCACAGTCATGAGATGGGTCAGGTCCCTCCTCGAGGCAATGCTGGCAGTTTTACCTCTTTTCCAGGTGCATCCGTGTGCATCCCCCGCTGTCACAGAGCACGCATCATCCCTGCACCTATCACACTAGGCACAGTCAGGTGCTTCCAACAAACGCACGATCCCTGCCTGTAACAAGGGACCAGAGAAAGTGAGACCAGGCCAGAGAGGAGAACCCCACTGATCTCCTGCCACCCTGCCACTTCTCCATCTCAAGCTGTTTCCCAGAACTATTCCATGGCCTGTTCTTTGCAGAGCACTGCAAGTGGTCTTCCCTCTGCATGCTCTGGTCCTCCCTGGCTTTGAGCCATGGCAGTGCAACAGCTGAGTGCAGCAGTAATCCTTAGAAAGGGCTTCTGACTTCTTTCTTTATGAAGTCTCCCCTGACCAATTAAAGCAGAGCAAAGGGACTATGTGGTTGCAGGTTTCAGGAGAAACTTGATGATGAGCCCACTGAATGTCCATTTTCATCCACTGGGTCCGTAGAGGGAGAAACCTGTATTGCAGATGGATCCCTCCCCAACAGTCTTTCCCAGCCCCACCAACAAACCAAGAGCCAGGTTAGAGGTATTTGAGCTACTTGTAAGCAAATCTGAACTACCAAACATTTCCCTTGCAGAATGTATTGTACAATGCAGACTAGCAAGGGGACAGTGATGCCTCTCCATTAGCCTGATTCCAGGCTGGAAGAGCATGTCTGGTCAACATAGATGGTGTGTCATCTACAGACAACTGCCTGAGCAAGCAGGCAAGGCTTGCTATATGATTGATGTAGACAGACAGACAGAGCACTATTGCCTGTGTGCTGTTAGAGGTCTTCCTCAGGCTGGGTGGATCAGGCCCTAGACATGCCATCTGCTTTCCAATGGCTGGAAAGAGCCTGTGGAGGAGTTTGGCAGCAGATATCTGTGTCAAGTCTGTGCGGAGGGATCTGCTCACACCCTCTCCTGGGCTTGCCCCTGCAGGCCTTTGGCCTCTCCCTTAGACAGCCTGCCTTTCCCTGACAAGAGAAAGGCCAGACTAGACTTCCTGGAACACCAGCACATCAGCCTCCTGTGGCCCAGCATCCCACCCGCAGGAGATGAGCCCTCCCAAGGGAGGTCAAAACAAGCCCTTGGCGCAGTCCTCAGGTTCGCACATGTGGGCCAAGTCTCCTCTTGCTTGTTCTTCTGCCATCCCAAATGAAGAGGAAAGACTGCAGATCTCTTTCCCACCAAATCCAGGACAGAAAATCAGTCCCAGGCACTGAGTCTTCCCGTGCACAGACAGCAGGGCCAAGCCAATGCAGCATCTTCAAGGAATTTATCTGCAAAACTACCAAGACTCTCCTGAGCACGACCACACTGTAATCTCAAGTAATACTGAAAACCTAACATGGGCCAAATTTTGACTTTCCGATAGTGAAGACATAATATAGACATGCAACACAGAGCCAACACTCAAATCTTAGGAGGAACCTTTCCAGCAAAGCTTTGCTGGCCTTTTTCTTAATGTGAGATGAATAATGTGGCTTTTTTGAGTCCAATTTTTTGAAACCAGCCAAAGGGTTTGGGCTGAAATTCCCTACCTCCTTTCCATCCATCCAAAAACTCCAGTAGGAACCAGACACCCCCCAAGCTAAATTCCAGTCAAATAGCTAAAGCTTGGCACAACTATATGCAACCAGAAAACAGGAAACTAAATGTGGTCAGAAGACGGGCCTGAGTAAGAAACGTTGGCAAACCTTAGTAAGTGTGATGTCCCATCCATCCCTCCTAAATTTAACCGACTCAAACCAGGACAAATATATAAATATATATAAAAAATATTTCTGTTATTTCGTATAAACTACTGCATTATACCTACTCTGTTTTACCTTCTGTGAAGTCTATCTGGGATGTTTATGGTCTGGAAGAAGGGCTGAGGAGTCAATAGTTAAAGTCTGAGGTATGCTTTTCTTGGCCTGTGCTCCCACTGGAGAAGAGGCACTGGGGAACTGCTGGCAGGAGGCATGCACAGACTGTTGCTGAGCCAGGAAGATCATCAGCTCCCAGCTTCTCCTGTACCGGTCTGAGCAGAGCCAGGAGGAGGGATCCAGGCCTCTCACATCCTCCTGACCCTTCTGAGATTTGTATGTCTCCTGTTGGATCCATACTCCATTGCACACACATGGATGGAGGCTGTCATGTGCACCTGGAGTCTGCAGGCAAGCTGAGTGTATATCAACCCAAGACAAATTACCCAACAAGTCACTAGCTACTTGATTTATGCTTGAGGTGACAGTCACTTGAAGCACACCCATCTTATGGGTGGCTGAGGCTTCCTAGAAACTCCAGAGGAACTGGCAGTTGGGTTGTAATGGGCTGTGGCTCCCTTCCCAGATGCTCATGGTGATGTCTGGTCCTGAAGTCATGCAGCTGACTCCTGCCACAGTCCACCATGCAGCCTGGCCAGCATGATCCACATTAGCTGCAGAGGGTCTCTCTCACTCTACAACCCCATGAGACAGCCATATGTGGTAGGGCTCATGTGTGAAATGTGACCTTCCCCAGCTGTGTGGTGTAAGTGCATGGGCAAAGGGAAGAGGAGACAGGCTGTGATGCCACAACTTGGACTCAAAAGAAGACAAACAAGGGTGGAGCAGCTGGTTGCAACTGTCCACATCTGCCTCCAGCAAATAGCTGGAAGGTTACCAATGATGGACAGAGTCCAAAGACAGACTCTTAACGGCTCTTCTGTTAAGCTCTGAGAAAGCACCAAGGTGCATCTCAGCCTCTGGCCTAAAACAGCCACAGCTTCAATCAGGCTTTTGGGAGAGGACACACTGCAGCACCAGGGGAAGGGTTGGGGTGGGGCTGCTATTCAGAGGTCCCGCTCTGGGCCTCCTTTCCATTGCCCCAAAGCAGTACAGCCTGAGAGACAGGAGGCTGAGGTGCACCCCAGGCTGATATTCCCTATGTCCCAGCTTGTTTCACAGAATCACAGAATCACAGAATGGTCAGGGTTGGAAGGGACCTCTGGAGATCATCTAGTCCAACCTCCCCGTCAGAGCAGGGGCATCTATGACAGGTTGCACAGGACGGTGTCCAGGTGGGTTTTGAATGTCTCCAGAGTGAGAGACTCCACAACCTCTCTGGGCAGTCTGTGCCAGTGCTCCACTACCCTCAAAGTAAAGAAGTTCCTCCTCATGTTAAGATGGAACTTCCTATGTTCGAGTTTGTGCCTGTTACCCTTCGTCCTATTTCTTTTTGTTTCTGCTTTGCAAAGGACTCTCCAGCACAGGTAAGGGCTAGAAGGTGATATCTGGGTTCCCACCAGTGGATTTTCATACGAACATAAGTCCTGCCCTTTCTGCAGGCTCAGGCATCCTCTCAAGTGACTGTTGCTTCCCTAAGTCCTGTGGGTAGGGTGGACATCGCATGCATGTCCACTGCTCCCAGCCTCCAGCAAATTTAACATGGGTTAGCATACAGAAAAAGGGTCTGGCAAGAAAAGAGA